ACGCTATCAATAGCGTAGGAAGGCAAGATGAGTAGTGAGCAGTGAATTGGATAAAATGCTGAAGGAAGTGGTCGTGACCTAATTTGTTGTAGTATCCCGGCATTTGCCTGACAGACCGAGGAAAATCACAAGAAGTCTCATTGAGGAAGGCCGAGATTTGAACCTGGGACCCTCCGAATACGAAGCATGATGTCCCGTAATGTGTCTGTTCAGACAAGAACTATTTTGAGAATGTACAAAAATTGGAATGTTCTTTTCCCCGTGTGGAGGTGGGTTAGAATTCCTCCACCGTAGCCTTGCCAGTCGTAGAAGGCGACGAAAAGGGAACCTGGTACCCGGGAGTATAACTGGGCCACCCTGTCAGTGGGGACATAAATACTTGAACCTGATCCACCAGGTTGGGTGTTGGACGCAAGGCTGACGACATTCCTCTGTAAAATATTATTGTTGCGATATCCAAAAAAGTGAATGACGGATGGTTTAATCTTGTAAGGGAGGTTATGGTTCATAAAGGGCTGTTTTGCCAATGATGGTGGCAGTGGTGGTAATGATGATGATGGGATGTTCCGTGTACTGTGTTCATCTTAGTCTAATTATACTGTCACGAGTGATAAGACGGGTTCTGGATTGGATTTATTGACACCTTATTCACATAACTCTGGACTACAGACAATACAGCGCTATTGCTTGCTTATACCCTTTACAGTTCACCGCTACATATGCACTAGGGTTCTTAGCCTTCACTAGTCGTGTCCTGGCAACGAATTTATAAAAATCTGTCACTTCAAATCGCACATAAAGTGTTCTTTGCACCACCTAATTCCTTTCTTGCCATTATTCTGCAACTGCCACCTCAATTCAATTCCAAAGCGCATATCCTGGCAGGCTGGCGTCTCGAAAATGACTCGCTCTTCTCACCTGAACTCTTCTTTATAACCACTTTTCACGGACTACGTAGAAAACAACATCCCTATTGTTTGGAAGGCGTGTTGAAGTTACTCCGTTGTTGCTTTGCATAATCGTTGCAGCTGGAATGTATCTACCGAGTCTCTACCTAACAATGAACGTCTATTCTGATTTCACTATTCCGGCTTTCAGGCGTCATGTGACAATATATTTTGATTCAAAAGACGTTTATGGGGAACCTTTGTATCTCTCTTGAAGATGAATATAAGTACAGGACTACTAGTGTCTCTCATACTCTCCCATTTCATCAAACCGGATAAGCAGTCTGTTGGTTGCAGAGTGTAAGTAGACTCCCCATGCCCCCAAGGCAGCATGGCTGGTCTGGATGCTCATGAGGACCCCAGCTTTTCGACTGCTTTGGGTCAACAACACTGTGTACAGTCACAAACCCTCGCAACATGAGTCCATGAGGAAAGAAACTCTATTTTCGCTAGCTGACCGCCTGTTTTATTTCACTGTGCATCATTTACTTACTGCAACCGCTCGCTTGAAGGCGTGTACGGTCTTGGACAGCGAGCTGAGATACAGATTGGGACATAAATGCATATCCTCTGTTCGAGGAAGGATTCATACGAAAAGACTAAGGAATATATGACATTGTTAGTGGGGTGGGACTAAGTCCCTTGTACTGCGGCCACTTCTGGCCTATTGTACCAGCCCCAGATGATAGGAGAGGATGATTGTGGAGCAATTGGTGGAATGAAGATTGGCAGGGGAAACCGAAGTACTCGGAGAAAACCTGCCCCAGCGCCACTTTGTCCACCACAAATCCCACTTGACCAGACCCGTTATCGAACCCGGGCCGCCGCGGTGGGAAGCCAGCGACTAACCCCTTGAGCTATAGCGCGGCCCAAATCCATGGGGACTAACTCTATGAAGCTGACCACTCGAGAAGCCGCCGATCGCTCAAGACCACCATTATATGGAACCCCAAAGTTCATTGCCGTGTTCGCAAGAGCCCTCTACTGGTCCCTATCCTAAGCCAGATCAATCCAGTTCATACCACCCCATTCTATGTTTATCCATGACCATGAGGAACTACTGAAACTAACTATGGAACACATACCTAATTTGTTGACGAATTTAGGGTGTTCTATCGCAAAAAAAAAGTATATCATGATTTGGAGTTGGTATACCCTGTACCGACATTAACACCAATGGAGTATAAAGAACTGTACAGAAGGGATTTAGAAACTCTGTATACTAAATACAGAAGTACACTATTTCCCACTTGAAAAGTCCTATCGTCTGGATTACGCCATGTAGTCCGGTGAAAGTGAGCCGACGTTTAGGAGGAACATGTCGCTTCCATCTGCTTGCTACCTGCTCCATGTTGGTTTCTTGCTTGGCTTACTCTTCGACACTGAAGATGGAGACGACATATTGCTCCTAAATTCCGTTTAACTTTCACTGGACTACATGGCGTTGTATCCCAGAAGACAGAGGCGTGAGATTCTCCCATCCTACATTTGAAACAGCCCAGCAGACAGATGTCAGACTTGGAATTTACACAGAACTGCATGGCTAACACTGGATTGACCTGACACAGGCCGGGGACTAAACAGGTTCTGAAGCTAGGTATGAGGTTACTGGTTTTAACGCATGCCTGTACTCAGGGGTCAACCAGTACTGGCTCAGTTCGCTAGTGAGACAAGGACTACTCGCCAAGAGGAACTGCGCCTACTCACGTTATGATTGTTCCGCGCCAGCCTACATGCATTATGGCCTACATTACGTGACATAAGAGACGTAAAGTGGACCTAATGTGTATATAAGGTATCTTACTGTTCAGATGTTTCTGTTTGACATCTGTGGAGATATCAACATAGGGAGCGGAATTTTCTATTAACGAATCAACTCGAAGATGTACTTTGGCCTGCCGTATTTTATGACTCGTCCTGGTGAGCAGAGGTAAATTATTAGGCTGTAGTCTGAATTTCAGGAAGTACAATGGCGTCAGATAACTGTGTATCATGCAGGCCTAAAATTTCAGAATCGTGTATTCAAATCCTGGCGGAACATTTTCAACGGAATATGTCTGACCTTATTGTGACATACGTGTATAATCACTCGAGCCACAGGCAAGGGCAGATTTCGGTGCAGGATATGTGAAAGAAGGAACCTTATAAATTTTAGGGGCCGATCAAGCAGAAGACAACGACCGATTGGTTACCTGTTCTGCTTCGTACTGTGGACGTATATGAAGCTTTTCTATGAACTCGGGTAATGCTTGCTACTATTCAATTCAGAACCTTTTGTCTTCTCGACTGCTGTCCAAAAACGTAAAAATTAGAATATACAAAAGTATAATTTTGCCTGTGGTTTTGTATGGGTGTGAATATTTATCTCTGACATTAAGGGAGGAACATAGCCTGAAGGGGTTTGAGAACAGGGTGTTGAGGAGAATATTTGTACCGAAGAGGGATGAAGTGACAGGAGGTTGGAGAAAACTGCATAATTAGGAGTTTCATAACTTGTACTCTTCTCCAAGTACAATTAGAACGATCAAGTCAAGGAGAATGAGATGGACGGGGCATGTAGAACGCATGGAGAGAAGAGGAATGCATATAGGATTTTGGCGGGAAAGCCAGAAGGAATGAGAACGCTTGGTAAACCTAGATGTAGGTTGGAGTATAATAATAAGATGAATCTCAGAGGGATAGGAGGAGGTGGTAGGGACTGGATTGATCTGGCTCAGGATAGGGATCAGTGGAGGGCTCTTATGAACACAGTAATGAACCTTCGGTTTCCATAAAATGTTGGGAAATTATTGAGTAGTTGAGCGGCTGACGGCTTCTCAAGAAGGGCTCAGCTCTATGGAGCTAGTTTGGAGCTTTTCGTGACCTTCAGGCAGGCTACGCCCTTCCGAATCCAACAATCATATTGCTTGCCCAACGCTATATAACCAATGTACTTGATACAGCGCAGTTAAATAAGAGAAGAGCCGACAACGAACTAAGCAACAGTGAAGCGGTGCAAGACTCACCTACATTTCGTTTGCACTAAACTGTAGGACTTCTCACCAGCACGAGATCATGAGTTACCTTGAATTTCTTCCTCTCTGAGATTGCACGCTCTCCAGAGAGTGATAGACTACTTAGTCTGGATTTAGTTAGTGTTCATGAGTGACGACGGTCTGCGGGCGAGGAACAGAAATAGCCCCGAGGGACTTTGCCCCAGTGCAATATTATCCTCCACAGTTTCCATATGAAAGGATTTGTGCTATACGAAGCCGTGTTTTATGGGTTCAGCAGAATGTTCCCACGTGTATTTAAGTAGGCGTTGTACAAATTGTTAAGTCCTTTTATATTGTAGTGCAAAACTGTTACACAGTTAGGCGATATTTACCTACAGAAAGTAGATAAAGGGGAAGTTCATCTCCTTTTCGTCTGCTTGCTTATTCTAACAAGTCATGTAACGGACTTCCTATGTTTTCGCAACGAAAAGTTGCAAAAATGCACCTATTACATTTGCCATGTGTCTGTCTGCTGTCTGTTTGCGTGTAACAAGCCGCTGACTGAATGTTCATGAAATGTCATATTGGAAACTCGAAGGCCTACTAAAACTTATCGAAATTTCCCAATGCTGGTTAAATCCGGTAAAGAAGAATCGCCATCTTGCGTGAAGTCCTAACTGTGCTTCTGTCTTCCACTCGGAGCTAACTGGCTAAATAGATAAAAAGGTAAATAGAAGTCCCTGCGCCTAGTTAAGTACTACACCTTGAAGACGTATGGGCGAAGGGAAGTCAACCTCAGCACTAGCTGGAGGAGAGTAGTGTGGTTCAGGCTTTAGCTGCTTTGTCCCTGGGGAATGAACTGCTGGTAACAACAGCACAGAACGTCGGGTGGGCCCCAGAGCCGATGTGGAAGATGTGAAAAAGAGAACCCAGATTCCTCGGTCATCCAACCCGTTACGTAGTCTGACTGGGCTTTCCTAGCTAAATATTTATCGTAACGAAATTTAACAACGTCGATCGACCCTAAATTTGAAGGCATACATAAAGGTAGGTATGTTTCACTGAAAGCAGTATTTTATTTGAGTAAAGAAGAATACAGGGAAATGTTACACAGTAGTTGCATTATCTGCCTAATTTTGTGTTTTAAATTATGGTTTTAAAAACCATTTAAAATGAACAGTTTAGGCGCAAAAGCACTTCTTGAAAGTACAAACTTACTATTTATCAAGTAAATCTAAAAGACTTAGTCCTGATTCTGGAACCGAAAGCAGGTCACGTGTTGTCTCCAACACTCGCGAAGATACGGTAGAGGTCTCCATTTCACTTGTCGAACATGCAGAGTGGATGCGTCCTAGACAGTATGCAGGTGAAGGAGTAGCAGTATGGTCACGAGAAAAGCACAAAAGCCAGTTTTATGGCTCACCCCTCATACTCATATTCATGGTAAGGAGAATGGTCCGGACTGGGCGTAGTTTGGGGAGAACTATGGCTGGATTGGGGAGAGTACGTGAACCTGTGTGTTTGTGGTGGCATGTCATACTTTCCCATTGCCGCGTGAAACAAAATATTGTTAATGTGATATTTAGCGATGGTCTGTGCAGGCAAGCTAAGTTTTCGCAGCTCATTTGCCACATATTCACCGTACGTTGCAAATTCATCACGCTGCGAAGCTTTCTTTAAAACTTCGTACGTTTCATCTGATCTTCCGGCCTCTTCATCTCGGTCAATTCCTTGTCTCCTGCGCTTTTTCGTTCCAGAAGTGGGTGTCACGAATTCCCTACCAGCAGCTTCGGGAGTTGACTGTGGTCTTACAGTTTCTTCATGACGGTCGTCTTGGGAACGCACAGCCTCATGCAGTTGTGTTTCGCTGCTATTGGGGCCTATTTCATGGTCCTTCGTATCCTCATTCTGTGAATACAAAACGAAAATCATTCTTCTTGAAAAGTTAGAAAATGCTCTAATTTTTACACGAATGTTCATTATTCCAAATCAAGATGACGAGTGGTAAAGGGTAAAATGCACCGCTCCAAGCTGGGCGTTCAATTCAGATGTTCACTTCTCACTTATCATTTCCCCCCCCCCCTTGGCACTACATCCCTAGGGGGCCTAGGCCTACCTCCATGAACTTCTCCGTTCACTTCGGTTTTTCCAGATCTTACACATTCGGCAGGATTCCTTGGGCGGGTGATGAGCTCGTCGCAAGGCCTCTACCTGTACACAAACACAAAAAAACGCGCACACACAAACTAAACATCCATGCCCTGAGTGGGATTCGAACCCACGATCCCGGTTTCCAAGCGAGCGAAGACGGTACATGCCTTAGACCGCTCGGATACCGTGACCTTACCTATGTTTATGTTGTTTTAATTTTGTAAAAAAATTAATACTCAATACAGATGCATGCATAAATCCATGCACGTCTGTGACATTGTTCATTGACAAACTGATACAATAAACAAATGGCTTAAAAATGAAAAAGATATAACCACGACACATTTAAGCTTGTATGTTTTGAATGTAAATTATTTAAACCTACTTACCTCGGAAACAATATCCTCCTCCGTTGAAAGTTCTCTTTTTGGTGCGTCAACCTCAAGAAGGAAACTCAATGAAGGGAAGTGCACCCATTGATCACCTTTGGCGGATCCGCGATTCTTCTTTTTATACCTGTGGAAGGTCGTTCTGAGATTTTTAACCTTTTCTTTCACTTCCTTCACCGAACATTGAAACTTCGTGGCTAAGTCCTCCCATAACTTCACCTTCTTCCGATTGTCTTTATAATTGGGATGCCGCAAATCCCACAGAATGCTCTTTTCGCGGTACTCTTCGATAAGACACTTGACCTTATGCGAGTCCCAAATCATCACGCCACATGCGAGTAGGCAACTGAACCCACTAGCGATGGATAACCTTGCGGCCTGGAGCAACTAGAGGACGCGCGACGCAAGCCGCATGCGATTGCGCTACCCTCTACCTGCAAGTGAGTAATTTGCAGCATGCGGTCGCGCCGCGTGCGGCGCGGTTGCCAAAGGTTGCTTCAGTGTAAATCCGCCTTAACAAGGTGCCCTACAGATGACCCACACTCCGCGTAACGTGGGCCCCGTGACCTTCCAGTAATAAACGATTTGGAAACTAAATAATAATTACAAGCAGGTAGGAGTTCGATTCACGGAGTGCACACAGCAGGTCAGGCATCTACAGAATTCGAAGCAACGAGGCTGGAAACTGCCATCACAGTGAATTTATATTCCTTTGTGATCTTGATCGTGGCAGTGATGTTCATTAGCGCACATACAAATTAATTTCGTAATTTCTTTCGCCTAAATTATCTTGCACCGTGCTCTTGTGACAGTTACGTGGACTGACAGTTCCTGAAATAGAGAACATACTGTCGAGGAGTTAATTATGAATAGGTTAGAAATTACTGTATATTGTATATTAGATTTCCTTTGTATTCCATAAAACAAAACAAACTACATGGCCTGTAGTCCGCAAGCGAACTATACCGACCGAGCGACCGCCGTTTGTCGGCGAAGTTAGTGCCAACTTTAGCGGGTAGAGTGTGTCGCGTGGTCAGCGGAACGGATCCCCACGGCCGTTAACCTCGGTTTTCTAGACCGGAGCCGCTATTTTCTTAAAATAGCTCCTCAATTATCCTCACGAGGCTGAGTGGATCCCGTTCCAGACCCACTACTTCTCAGAAAATCTGGTAATGCCGGGAATCGAGCCCGGGACCTCTGGATCTGTAGGCAGGAACTCTGACCACTAGACCACAGAGGCGGTCCCTTTGTATTTCATTAAACACTTAAAACCCAGACCTGAGGAATTATATTTAGGTAGTGGCGGTTTCCGAAGTTTAAAATAGTCTTCATTTTGTGCTGTACTTTTTTGCTAGAAATAAAAGACGAAGTCGTTGTTACTGTTGAGGAGCACGTCATTGTGTTGCCTTATTTTATTAAATATTCAATGACAGGAGAAATGTTTCGCAGAATAGTGTGAATCTTAATGACATCATCTACTGCCATTATTTGCACGATAAGCTGTTCCTAAGAAAGCTGATAAAAATAGATTCGTGGTTGGGATTGTATCCGGCCGACAGAAGCCAAAATGAAAATCGTCCGACATCACCGGCGTGAACTAAAACTTAATTGAAATCCTATCAGTAGTTTCAGACGTACGTAATCTGAACATTATATGTTCATTTTATGTTAGTTATCCCTGTAACAGGCCGTGGAGGCCCACAGGGTTGTGAGAGGTTGAGACTCGCCCATCTTCTACACCAGGGGCCTCCAAACTCTTCGAACCGCGGGCCACATTAGGTAATTCAGCACTTTAAACGGGCCGGATATAATGAGAAATTAATAACTCTAGATTATGAGTCTTATTGAAAGCACAGAATTTCATAAACTAAATACAAAGTACGTGAGAATAAATTATCGTATATTAATGACAACAGACAGTAGCAGCAAATGCTCATATTTTCATCAGAAATTTTAATAAAACAATTAATGTGAATGATGGAACTCTTTTTGCATTCTTAAAATCTGATTAAATTGAGGTTCAAATTTTGAAACGCTAATCACAAGTAGCGACTTTAAATGTTCATCGGATAAATTTGCCCTGTATTTCGACTTGATGTACTTCATCTGGGAAAAAGTTTGTTCACACAGATATGTCGTCCCAAAAATGGAGATAAATTTACAAGCAAATTTCTTTAAATTTGGAAATTGCTCAGAGTTCAGAAATTTATAAAATTCGATCAAATTTCCTTCCTTGTATTTGTCTTTAATATGATAATTTTCCTGAAGTTCAATAATTTCCATTTGAATTTGACTTGGGACATCTGCAGCATCACAGTCAAACGGATTTTGAAACAATCTAATTTCCTGAGCACTGGAATCCAAATCAGCAAATCGCTTCCGAAATTGTTCTTTCAAATCTGAAATGACTAAATTTGCAAACGAGGAAGGAAATTCTGCTTCACCCTTTTTATGCAACTCTGCACAGTATAGCATATGAACAAAGTTACAATTTTTCACTTGGCTTTCCAGAAGTATCAACTTTGCTCTGAATGCCTTGATAAGTGCAAATAAATCACAGACTAAGTTATTTTCACCCTGCAACATTAAATGCAAATGGTTCATATGGTTCACCAGATCAGCAAAACTGCTAATTTCCAAAGCCACTTGGTATCTGATAAAAGTGGTTCGTGATGGTTTTTCTCGGTAAGAAATATATCAATTTCATTCCTGAGCTGAAAGAAGCGCGAAAGAACCTTTCCACAGCTAAGCCATCGAACTGCAGTATAATATGTCAGGTCAATAAGCTCGGAATCACATTTACCAGTACTCACTGGAAAATTAGTTCAACTGGCGCATTTCTGCACAATTCTTTCGCTGGCCGGATAAAATCACATCGCGGGCCGCATGTGGCCCGCGGGCCGTAGTTTGGAGACCCTTGTTATAGACAATCGGCTCACAGATAGCGGTGACATTGTCAGCCTTACGCTCCGGCCGCCCTTTACCCCCAGGAAGATTCCTGGTACTCATTTCTGTTAGAGGCTGAGTCGACCCCAGGGTCACAGTGCGGCTGGAAGGATTAAGTAAATTGAAAAAATCCACCTCATCGGGACTCGAACCTGCGATCTTCTGGCTTGTAGCATGGTGCCTAAACAGCGTACCCCCTTTCATTTTATGTACGTGGTGCGTTCCGTATATAATGCCTCCTATTTTTTTTTTGTGTTAATATGTAACGTCTAAGCTGGATGTTGGTGGTGTTGTAGTAAAGGTTGAACCTTCCCACCAATGTACTGTTAATTTGGTTGTCGTGCGACAGATAGCGACAGCAGAGCAGTCTACAAAAATGGCGTCTGACGTAGAAGTGCGTATGAAAGAGAAATGTGTTATTGAATTTCTCACTGCCGAACAAATTTTACCTATTGACATCCATCGACGCTTGCTAAAGGTGTACGGAGACAATACAGTGGATGTCAGCACAGTGATTCTGCGGGTAGTGCGTTTCAACAGTGGCGAAAATGAAGTGCACGACAAGCCACGCTATGGGCGTCCCTGCTCAGCTGCCACTCCTCACAATGAACAGCGCCTCATCCGAACAGATCAGCAGATAACGACCAGGGACTGTCAATTCTGAACGCTACAAGACGACGCTGACTAAGCTGAAAGCCCGTATTCCCCGAGTCAGGCCAGAGAAGCAGACAACCTTTCACTTGCAACACGATAACGCTAGACCCCATACCAGTTTGGCTGGACTGTCCTACCACATCCACCTTATAGCCCCGATTTAGCACCTTCAGACTTCCATCTCTTGGGGCCTATGAAAGACGGACTACGTGGGCAACATTTTCCAGACAACGATGCTGTCATTGCAGCTGTAAGAAAGTGGCTAGCCTCTGCTGGCGCAGACTTTTACGGGCGCGGCATACAGGCTCTTGTTCATCGATGGCAAAAGTGCATAACGAATGGTGATGATTATGTGGAAAAACAGCTGTAAGTAGCTGAAATCTTGCTCTATTTAACTGTGTTATTATGATTTCTGTATCTGTTGTAGTTTTCTTTAAAAAAATATAAGGCATTATATACAGAACGCCCTTATTACTTCAAAGAATATCTGAAGAATATCCTCAAATAGTGATCTCCAAACTTGTACGAGTATTCTGCAGTTCTTACAACGTTCTATGTGACCGTAAACCAATTCTGTACGAAGTTATACGTCAGAGCACAAGAGACCACTGAGGTCGCGGTGCAAGGGCTTAGAAGACCTACCCCTCATACATTCATACAAGTTATACGTCATATGTTTGTTATGACTTCAAGAAATGGTTGCATTATGCTTATTCGGTTTAGGCAAGGTCGGCGATGTATGAGGAAACTGGAACACTGCGGTTTGATTTCCGGCAGCAGCAGGGGCAGGGGTTTTTTCCCTTCGCCACCGCGTTCAGGTCGACTCTGTGCCCACCCAGCCTTCTACCTAATGGGTACTAGAGTCTTTTTCCTCGGGTGCAAAGTACCCGGGGCATGAAGCTATAGGCTTACGAGCACATATATCTAGTGCCGAAGTTAATAATGTCTGGAGACCGTGCCATAACCAGGTGATTAATAGCCTACTCCCCACCGTGGCGGCTTCTGTTCGATCTCAGGTCATGTCATGTGGGGTTTGTGGTGAACACAGAGGCCCTGCTAGTTCTCATTCCACCAACTGCTCGACATTCGTCAATCATTCTGTCATCCGAAGCTATATAGTCCCTCACCTCACTCATGGACCTGAGCCTTTCTTGAGAAGCCGCCAATTGTGCAGCTACTCAAGAACTTCCCAGCATTTTATTGAACCCGAAGGTTCATTAGCGTGTTCACAAGAGTCCTCCACTGGTCCCTATCCTGAGCAAGATGGATTCAGTCCATGTCATCTCATCCTATCTCTCTAAGATCCATTTTAATATTGTTCACCCACCTACGTGTTGGTCTTCTTAGTGGTCTCTTCCCTTCTGCCTTTCCTACCAATGTCGTATATGCATTCTTCTTCCCCATTCGTGTTACATGCCTCCTTGACTTGATCATTCTAATTATACTTGGAGAAGAGTACAAGTTATGAAGCTCCTCATTATGCAGTTTTCTCCAACCTCCTGTCACTTCATCACTCTTCGGTCCAGATATTCTCCTCAACACCCTGTTCTCAAACACCCTCAGTCTATGTTCCTCCCTTAATGTCAGAGACCAATACTTGAGTTCTATTTTTCGTGTCAAACACAACAATCTACCAAACAACTCGCTCACATTTCACTGTGCATAACTGAGTTTATTGGTCGTACAATGTCGCAACATGTTACGGTTCATGGGGCCATCGACAGGTAACACATTAACATAAACCTCATATTATTGAATTATGCCTCTTATATGGATCACTATATTGTGCTAATCATTGTGTTACAGTAAACCGTAAAAATATAGTGAGCTTCTTTCCCTTTCGTTAATCACTTTTATATGCATACATTAAGTGGTTATGTTTCTATACTGCTTAAAAATGTATTAAACGAGCATTTAAGATTTATT